CTTTATCATCATTTCTTTCACCGTTATCGTTCCATCATTTCCTCCAAGATACCATTCTGTTCGTTCATTATTTCATAGTGGTCACCAGCATCAACAGAGTAATCACCACCACCATTATTTATTTATTTATTTTATTTATTTATTTATTTATCAGAATTGTAAAAACTCTTACAAGCAAACAAACATTCACACGTACGCACACATATAAACACACACTCGTGATTACTCAACAAATAACAACACACAAAAACACACACACACACAAAAACAAACAAACAAACTTCCCAATTACAGTTACAAATAGCAAACATGTTTACATAGAGAAACACATATACTACAAACAATTATACGTACACACATATACACAGAATTGCACGCGCATACGTATACACGCACACACAAACAAGGAAACATATATACAACACGCACACACATCAGCCTAGCCATTACAAATAACGATGTATATTAGGATAAGTTTTATCTGGAGAAGCATGTTTGGTATGAAATGTTTTTATGAATGATGACGATGATGACGACGACGACGATGATGATGACAATGGTTATGATAGTGATGATCAAAATGATGATGATGATGATGATTATGACTATAATTATGATTATCACCAATATGCCTATTATAGTTTTTTTCCACAAAAATGACGTTTTAAACAATTAAAGGGTCGACGATGATGATGATGATTATGATGATGATGATGATGATGATGATTATGATGATGATGATTGTAGAGATGATGAAGTTAATGATAATGATAAAAAAGATGATAGTGATTGCAATGATGATGGTGGCGATGATGATGATGATGAAAAAATTGTATTGATGATGATGATGCTTTTCAAAACAGGGTAAATTAAAAATTAGTAAATGACAGATAACAACAAAAAATGTCACCCGCCACAAAAACAACGACAGCAGCAGCAGCAACTACAACAAAATCAGCAAAAGCAGCAGCAACTGCATCAACGACAACGACGACAACAAATTATTACGACATCTGGTCGTTGTTAATTAAGAAGAAGCATTTTTTGCTTGATCCAAGTGAATTGTGGCGATGGTAATGATAATGATGACGACCACGACGATGATGATGATGATGACGATAATGATGTTATAATAATTATCATGATATAATGATGATGATGACTGCCAGATAAAAATGATGATGGTAACGATGCCTACGACGAGATATCATAATGATGTCTGTGATATTATTTCAAATGTACTACATACTACTACTGCTACTACTACCACAACTGCTACTACTACTACCACTACTACTTCTGCGGCTAGTAATACTGCTACTACTACTGCTATTTCTACTTACGATTACTGCTACCTCTACTACTACTACTACTGTCGCTACTACAACAACTACTAATATTATTACTCCAACTACTACTACTACTACTATTGTTTCGGCTGCTACTACTACTACTTATACTACACCTATTGCTATTGCTGCTACTACTACTGCTACCTCTACTACTACTATTACTACTACTACTATTACAAATAATAATGATGATATTGATTAATGATGATAATGATGACATCATAAACTTATGATGATGATGACGATGACGACAATGATGGTGATGACGAAGATGATGACGATGATGATGGTGATGATTGCAATTTGATATTTTGACGTTTTGTGAGAATTTTCGCAAGCAAGCGCATTTCTTTTAATGGCATCAAAGTGTGGTTGTCACATTAATCATCATTAATGTGACGTCATCATCATCGTCATCATCTCGTCATCAGTATACTGTCTTTTTATCATCATCATCATCATCATCATCATCATATTTTCTATCTTTATCATTACTTTCATCATCACTTTCATCATTATGGTCGTCATTATCATCATTTCCATAATCATTAACACCATCATGATCGTGTCGTAATTGTAACTATCATTTTTGTAATTATTATCACCACCACCATCATCATCAGTATAATAATTATCATCGTGTTTGTCATCCTTCTACCCCCTTCTCATCATCATCCTCCCCATCATTTTTATATTCATCACCACCATCATCACCATCATCATTATCCTTATTGTCACCATCATCATCAATATTATCACCATCATTATAATCATTATTTTCGGCATCATAACCATCGCCATTATTGTCACCATCATCATCATCATTGAAGCCAGGAATGGCTAAAAAGTATTCTTGACCGTTAGAATAACTATTTATGCTGCTACAGAAGATTAAATTTTATTTTTAAATAATTATAGGAAAAAAAATAATAATAATAAAAAAAAACAACAATGACGACGACGACAACAACAACAACACTACCACCACCACCACCACCACCAACAACAACAACAACAACAACATAACAACATTAAAAAAATATCGCCAAAGAGGCAGTAAGTCAATTTGCTAGGAAAACATGGAGTCTTGTTGACTTAACACAACGACAACAATAACCAATTGTTGTACATTTACATTAATGATTTGTGCCATTGTGGCGGTAATCGTTGTCGTTGTTGTCGTTGCTGCTGTTGCTGTTGTTGCAGTAGTTGTTGATGTTATTATTTTTAATATTATTTTTGCCGTTGTTGTAGTTGTTGGTGTCATCATTATTATCATAATTATTAGTACTAAAATTGTTTTTGTTGATGACGATGTTGTTGTTGTTGCTTTTGTTGTTGTTGTTGCTTTTGTTGTTGTTGTTGTTGCTTTTGTTGTTGTTGTTGCTTTTGTTGTTGTTGTTGTTGCTGGTACCGATGTTGAAATTTCAATTGATGCTACAAAATACCATTTGTTTACTTTTTAAAAATTGGTATATAATTATATATAAATTTCATCAGACTGCATAAAGTTATATCTACTTACATATATTCAAAACCTCAGAAAGACATCTTTACAAAAAACATCTTATATAAAAATTATTAAATATTTTTAATATATCAATTAAGATTTATTATTTGATATCTACAAACATACATATGCATACAAATACATGAATATCTTATTGTGCAAAGATATATTAAACTAGATTTATAAATCTATGGCTTGCCGACAAAACGATGTAACAACCATAGACATAGAAATTAGTTTCTATATCTATGGTTACAACACATAATGAATAGATGCATACACTGCAATATTAAAATGCATGGTGGAAAATGTTTACATTGCCTGACACCTGCTGAGTGAAATAATAGTTTACCTTAACATCCCTCCGTTAAAAATGGTACGGTCAGATCGTCCAGTCTCTCATTTGCATTAACTCCACCCATGTGTGGATGATGTTGTTTGTGTTGATGGTGCTTGTGTTGTGTTGCTTTCCTGGTTGTGTTGGTCAGTGCTGTTGGTTGATTGATTGTGATGTTGTTGTTGTTGGTTGGTTGACTGGTTGATTGATACTCACTTTAATGGTTAGTTGAGGTCTGTGTTTGTTAGTTGGTTGGTTGGTTGATTGATTAATAATGTCGCTAGTTGGTTGTTGTAGTCAATTGTTATTTTTAGAACTTATTACTAAATATAATGAATGCTAGCAAACTCTACGTGTTTGTGTGTCAGCCTGTCTGTCTGTCTCACTGTCTGTGTGTATGTATGTATGTTTGTATGTCTCTGCGTGTGTATGTATGTATTTATGTATGTATGCATGTATGTATGTATGTATGTATGTATGTATGTATGTATGTATGTATGTATGTATGTATGTATGTATGTATGTATGTATGTATGTATGTATGTATGTATGTATGTATGTATGTATGTATGTATGTATGTTTGTATATCTGTGCGTATGTATGTAAATATTCGTTTCGTTTCGTATGTAAGTACGTATGTTTTGCCTAAACATTGCACATGTTTGTTTATTTTAATAGCATACTTTTCTCAATTTGCATGTTTTCTCTTCATGATGTATGAATGTGAAATATTGTACTAAATTTATTATTTAGTTTAATTTAATTTTCCAATTTTTTTTTTAAATTATGGAAAAAACAAAACAAAGACATGCAATTGTAAGAAAGTAATGGAATATTCAGTTGTGCTTGACTGTTAGTTTAGGATCGTCATTGTATTGTTGATCGAGTTATGTGTGTGTGTGTGTGCGTGTGCGTATGTGTATGTCTATATGTGTGTTTATTTGTATAGCATAATGTATATAAATACAATTACGTGTTTTTCTGGCTATTATTGTTTATATATAATCATACAAATGGATGTGTTTTTGTTTGTTTGAGTGCGTATAATGTGGGCAAAAGATGTCGATGTACGTGTATACCTACACAGTGTACACTTAAACATGTATGTCTGCATGTGTACATTTGCATGTGTGTGCTCTACGTGCGTACGATGTACGTGCATATATTTATGTTGGTGTTTTTGCATTGGTGTGAGATGCAAGTGCAAGAGGTGCACTTCAGCAGAAAGATAAGGAGGTGCCGAATATAGTAGCAGACAAGTGACGTTAATGAGAAAACAAAATTTTTTTCTTTTTTTCTTTCTTTCTTTCTTTCTTTCTTTTCTTTCTTTTCTTCCCTCTTTCCACAATCACAACTTTTTATATGTAGCCTCTTTTGTGCACATGCCTACATGTTTGGAATGTCTGCCTGTATAATTTTCATTTTCTGATGTATTTGTGTCTCACTGGTTACCAGTTCATGCCTTGTTTTGTTTGCAACTTAATTTCTTACGTTTATTACACGTTCAGTTATGCTTGTGTTAGCTTAACTTATACTCTTACTTAGTTTTTGACAACAACGCGTTAACAAGTTTTTTCATTTTGTTTTGTTCCAATCAATTTTTTTATTTCTCGCATTTCTATTTGTCGACGGAGTTAAAAATATTATAGAAAAGATAAACTATTTTTGCTCCTCTAAACTAATCTAATCTCAGTTTTTTTTGAATATTTGATGATTATTTTGATACTTCTTTTTAATTTTGATAAGCTGACGATTCATGTGGTCTATGGGAAAGACACAGTGAACGAAAACTTCCTCGCT